AATGGGCAAACCCGAGCTATGAAGGCAGAGGTTAGAACCGTGGTTTCCTCCGGGGTTTATCTACTGAGAGGTGCCTTGGGGAAGCCTGCTGGTGTGTTGGAAAAGCTCTAAGGGGGTTACATGGATGCATACATAAGTAGAAGAAATTAATTGAGGCGTCCATTTAAGATTTGTGTTCTTTACTATATATAAGGTAGCTCTTAATAAAAAAGAAAACAGAAAAACTTCATTTTAAAGAAACAAGAGAAAGATATTGTTTAATGCATCATATTTAAGAGTCAGGAAACCAACATGCCATTCTAGTTTCACTAAAACATGGTCTTGTGAAAACTGATTTTTCTATTTGCAAAATTGGAATATTAATATATACCAACTTCATAGAGCAATTAAGAAAATTAGATAACGTATAAATATCCTTGAGTTCCTATAAGAGAAGCCTCAGATAAATATAAGGTAATATTATTTGTGGAGCATTCCAAATCTCATTTTCACTTATGTCATCTCTTATAACTACTGCCTCCTTTCTCTTAAATAACAATCACTAAGATCAGTGAAGTAGATGAGTGTGGAAACTTGTGTTAGGTCAGCAACAATACAGAAATAGAGGCTAAAAGTGGGGCTATTCTTTCCATGACCCTTCTGATGGGTGATTGTCGTAACACTGAAAAGAGAATATTTATACTTATTAAATCTTCCTGAAGGACTCCCAGAATCTACTTAGTGACAGGATATTCAATTCCAGAGAATCCAATCAAAGATTATAAAAAGCCTCAAGCCCAATAATGCCATTCTATTCATCTCCGTTTTGAGGGTTATTAATAAAACATTTAAACAATAATCAAGTTGTAGTCCCATCTATGTACATAGCACGGTTCAAATCATACAGCTCCTCTAAAACCGAGATGTCCATATGTGGTCACCACTAACTACATGTATTATAGCACTTGAAATTTGGCTAGTTTGAATTGGTTTGTCCTTTAAATGCAAAATACATACCAGTTTTGAAACTGTACAAAAAAAATGTAAACTATCTCAATAATATTCTTTTATTGATTACATGTCAAAATGATAATATTTTTAATGTGTTCAGTTAAATAAGATAAATTATTAAAATGAATTTAATCTGTTTATTTTTACTTTTTTTTAATGTGGCTAATAGAAAGGTTTAAATTATATATATGGCTTGTATTGTATTTCTATTGAACAGCAGAGCTCTAAATAAAGATGAAACTTTTCATAATGCTATTCCTCTCGGGATAGAGCTTTCAGAAAGAGCATTTTGAGAATGAATTAGCGTTAAGGTTATTTAATATTCTCTGGCCAAATTACCTGTGTTGGTCAAAGATTAAGACCTACATTTAATCTTTATAATCTACTGGATTTTAGAATGGTCACATAATAAGATGTTTGGTCTACATGATGTCATTGAATATTTGACCACTTCTCCCTGAACTCTAGTAACATGTAAACTTGTGCTTCTGAAGCTTTGGGGGGTTTCGAAATATGAGGCAGAGAAATTACTTTTTTTTTTCGAGACAGTCTTACTCTGTTGCTCTGGCTAGAGTGCAGTGGCATCAGCATAGCTCACTATAACTTCCAATTCCTGGGCCCAAGTTATCCTCCTGCCTCAGCCTCCTGAGTAGCTGGAACTACAGGCATGTGCCATAATGCCTGGCTAATTTTTCTATTTTTCGTACAGACAGGGTCTTGTTCTTGCTCAAGTTGGTCTGAGAAATTAGTAGATCTCCTGGAGAACATTCCAGGGCACCCCAACACAAATGCTATATTTGAACAGAAACAATACTGCTATGGACTGAATTTTGTCCCTTCCCCATATTCATGTGTTGAAGCCCTAACCCCCAGTGTGACTGTATTTGGAAATCACACCTTTAATAGGAGGCAAATAAGGTTAGAAGAGGTCATAAGGGTGGGGCCCTAATCAAATAGGATTGGTAGCCTTATAAGAAGAGGGAGCGGGAGGGGAGGGGAGACAGAGAGAGAGAAAGAGAGATCTTTATGCCATGTGAGGACACAGCGAGAAGATGTCCGTGTGTAAGCTAGGAAAAGAGCCCTCACCAGAAACTGACTCTGCCAGACCTTAACTCCAGAACAGTGAGAAAATAAACTTCTGTTGTTTAAGCCACTCAGTCTACAGTATTTTGTTAAGGCAGCCCAAGCCAACTAATACACTAAGCCTCCTTATCCATGGTTTCAGTTAACCCTGGTCAAGTGAGAGCCAAAAATATTAAATTAAAAATTCCAGAAATAAACAATGAGTTAAGTTTTAAATTGCGTACCATTCTGAGTTGCATGATGAAATCTTGTGCCGTCTAGCTTCATCTCGCCTGGGATGTGAATTATTCCTTTGTCCAGCATATCCACACTGTCTAGGCTACCTGCCCATTAGTCACTTTGCAGCCATCTTGGTTATCAGAACAAAAAAAACGTAGTATTATATAGGATTTGGTACTGTCCCCAGTTTCAGGCATCCATCGGGGGGTCTTGGAACATATGCCCTGAGGATAAGGGGGGACTACTGTATAGACACCTACCATGTAAAGCAATCACATTTTAATGAAATATTATAATTAATCTTAATGCTAATTATGGATATATGCTTTTTATTAGATAAAGGCATGTTGATTTGTATCAAGTGGAGAGTAAATACTTATTGATTTTCTCTAAAAGTTATAGGACAGGCCTAAACAGTGTCCTCTGCACACCATCTTTGGACAGCCAGGTAAAAAGGTTCAAGGAAAAATGACTATTATTTAAAAATACTATGACTTTGACATATTTTATTCTTAGCTATATCAAAAATATTCTCTTTAGTAAATGGAAGTCACATTCCCACTTGAACTGAAAATGCTAAGTTGTTAATATCTTCCCTAGAGATTTGCTTCTTGGGATGACACCTTCACTGATTTCATAATAGTTTAAACATAATAAAATCTCATTTTCTGCTCCAAGGCATGAACAACTTTCAAAGTTCCTTAATCAGTGTAGTACTCAGCCCTTATGGCTTTGGGAATAACATTTTAAAAAGTATTGCAAAAAAGGAAAGAATGGGTATCCAGCCTGAGGAACAAAATAGTATGCTTTTTTTCCTTTAAAAACATCCAAAACATCTTTGGGTTTTTATGCCTGGATTTAAAGAGAGGGGCGGAGGTGTGGGTGGGGAAGGAAGAGATCCAAACAGGGTAGTTGCTTTAATTACTGTTAAAACTTCTAATCCCTTCTACCACCCCTTAGAGTTCCAGGGGGTCTAAGAACTCCAAGAAATCTATACAAAATTTTACTTGTCCCACACACATTTTCTGTAAAAAGGACCCTGAGCTTTGGAACATAATCTCAAAGAAGACAGTGACCAAAAAGGTTAAAAGCTTTTGTTTATGGGGTTTTTTTACTGAATTGAAGGAACTGTTCTCCCTCTCACCTGCAGGCCGGGTTTGAAGCACACCACCTAAGACCTCGGGATGGGTACCCACCCCTGATACCCTAATGGCATGTTGGTTACCCTGTTCTTTGCTTTTGTTTCTGGCTGTGTTTATGCTAGCTGCCTCCAACCCCCACTGCCTTGGCAGTTGTCCCACTCTGTATGTCCCTGTTAAATAAGAGTGGCCCTTGAGTGGCTGTCTCCTCATTTGGGTGGGACCCACGGTGGAACTCATCCCACTTATCAACATACCCTTTTCCCTCTTCTCTCTCTGCCCTTTTGGGACCACCAGAATTCGCCCCAGTGCTGGGTGGGTGGCCCACCTCCTTACCCTTTCGCATTTGGGCTTGGCGGCGGTACTTTTAAGCATGTCACACATCACGTTCCTGCACTGCCGTTCCCAGGTGGTGTAAAATTCCTTTCCTTTCCCGCTCGAAAGATGTTGTGAAAAAGAAATGATGTCTGTAGTGCGCTCTCTGCTCCCCTGAGAAGAATATTACAAAAAACTAATAACAGCTTTGTGTTTAGGGCAATTGTTTCGGCATATTCCCTCCAGCGTCAGAGGCCCCTGCACCTGCCTTGACCTCGGCCTCCCTAGGAGCCCCCAAAGCCCCCGAGCCCCTTCCACCCTCTCGGAGCCCCCCGCCCCAAATGCTCTGCTTGAGCGCAGCTCGGGCTCTTCCTACAGTCCTCCTGGGATGGGGGAAGGAATTGAAGCTCCCTCTTTTCTATACTCTTCTCAACAATGAATTCTAAAATCTCTTTTCATGTCTTGCAGAGCGCAAATGGGTAAGTTTTTTCCTCAAAAAACTTGCCTACAATCGGTGAGTCTGGCCCTGAGGCATCCCAGAGCCCGGGGCAGGCAGGGGGCCGGCCAGGGAGGGTCCCC